GGGGGAGGGACGAGGAAGCAACAATTACAGGAAGGATGGAGGTGAGACAGGCCCTTCTCCTACAAAAAGTTCCGATAGTACACGACCGCGTCGGTGATCGAAACACAACGTCGGCCTCCGCAGAACCCGAAAAGGTGGTGTGATTGAGGGAGACAACCACTGCCGCAATGCCACAATCACCTCGAGATCTGGAGAGGGCCAAGACAAAGAGGCGAGAATCCCGGTAAATGGTGGGGGAGGGAGTAAGAATCACAAGGGGGGCGAGGTTGTCACGTTGCGGAGCAGCAGTGGTGGTGATGATGGCGCTTCAGCCGAGAAGGGGCGACAAGTGGGGAGGCGACGGACGATTGGTTTACGGCGCTATCGCAAACGGCAACTGCTGAAGTCGAAGATACTACAAAGGAGAAAGGAAGTCTAGTGAGATAGCCGGTAGCAAATTAGATTCCCAAAATTAGCAACATTGCTGCTAAACAAGACATCTAAACAGCCTGTCCTCGAGCAAGTGTTTGACTGAGGTCTACTCCACGAGGGTTGCATAACTGCATCCAGTGTAGCCCGCGTGACAGCTGAAATGTCACATTGACGACTAAGTTCAAGTAACGTCTCGATCTACTTTTGCCAGTTGAACAAATTTGTGAGAACAGTGAAAGGGAACGAGTTACATACTATGCAAATCTCATTAACTTTAACCAAATTTGCAAGCTGATCACAGTTTATTTGTCGGTAGTTGACATTCTCGGGAGTAGTGATCACCTTCAGTTCCAGTAGTGTAATCTAAAGCTTTCGGCCGCACTGCTCCGCGGGGTGAGCAGAACTATTGAACAAAACACCAGAATACGATTTGTCCAAAAGCTAGGCGCAACACTGGCAATCTGAGCAGTGGCACACGGGAATTTATGATATTCCTCACACGGAATGCACATAACTTACGTAGTGAAAACTAATTTTGAGCCCAGTCTCTGCAATGGCAAGGTAAATATTACAACTCAAATTAAGTACTCAGTCCTAATCTACACGTA